AAAAAAAAAAAAAAAGGAATCTATTACTAAAATGGAAATTCTATATCCACTATTTTTACTTTTTACAAACATAACCTTGTAAAAATGTCGATATTATAGCAACTATTGCCAAATTATTAATTTTAATTTTAAATTGATTTGATTCTTCTTTACCATGTATAAAGTAAAATTAATTGATTTTTTACTTCTTAACATAATAATTTTTACCATCAGGAAAGTTAAATAAATTCATCATTATCTGCGGAAAATATTGTGTAAATTTTCATATGTTTTCCCAAACATTTGATATGGTTTATTTACCACAATTAAATTAGTTTAGTCATAACATGCTATTTTTTTATGAGACATTATTTATGCAACTGAATGCCAAACAATTATTTTTTATTAAATATTAAATTGATAAATTTTATTTTAAAATATAATAAATATAAAATATAACAATAACTCAATAAATAAAAAAAAACTGCTTGCCAATAGAATATAAACTCGATAATAATTCTACAAAACATATAAACTAAGGGTGTATTCGTTTGGGATTTCAGAAGACTTTTTAAGACTTATGAAATTCTAGTGTGTTTAATATAGAATCTTTAAGACTTCTAACAATTTTGAGGTACTCATTTGAGATTTTAAAATTCATACAAATTCCGGAGTTATTTGACTTATTTAAGACTAGGATTTGTTAATACTTTTAAGAGTTGTCGGGATTTCTAAAGAAAAAACAATATATGAAATCCCACTCCAAATCCCACCTCCAGATTTCACAGGATTCCTCAAAATCTTAAAGTCTCAAAATGTTACTCGAAATCTCAAACGAATACACCCCTAAGATCTCAAAACAATATTTTTAACAACTAAAATATAGCAGTAACTAAATACAAAAACACTTTTTTTTTTTTCTAATGAAACATAGAATTTATTAACTTTTTTGGAAAAACAAATTTAAAATCAAGACATTCAGTTTTTAAAAGGCAAAGATGGGATCAATTTGAAATAAATTGATGGATATTATCAGTTCATGTATCTAGGTATTACTTTGTATCTCATGAATCCATCCTCAATCAATTCTTTTACGAGATAATTGTCGAAATATAATTGCTTTGTGAGATAACTGTATCGGAGATACATATATATAAACATATATATAAACATACTTTCAAATTAAAATGTCATATTCTAGAAAATAACATAATAAAAAATGTGATATTTCACATCACGGTATGCATTTTTGTTAGATTTGTGATCTATTTTAACAAGTGGATGCATTGACCTGCTTCTAGAATAGTAGAGAACATTTAAGGTTATTTGGACATATTTTTCAAGAATACATGGAACATTTTAGATTCTTTTAAATATATTAATTGAGTTGAAAATATAATTTTTATGTATTTACAAAATTAATTTTCATATAACTTGAAACGCTTTGGAATAGTGAACACCCTCCTCGTCCATTGTTTTAATTAATGTATAATAAATTGTTTTTGTGTAACCCCACAATTAAAAAATTAATTTTAATATTCTTTTAATATCTTGGTGTTTTTCCTTTCCTTTTCCTTTTTCTTTACTGCTATTGGATTTATTTTTTTCCATTTTAATCATATTTCTATTAAATATTAATGTGTATATTTGACCATATTAACTAAAGGTTCATACCTTATTCTTGATTATTACGTTTCTCATCTTTTGAGTTAATTTTTTTTATTGTTATTTTATTTTTATTTTATTGAATGTTCATATTCTTTTTTTAAAAAAAAAAAATTAGAAATTTAAGTCATTTTTACTTATTTTTCAGTTTTTTTAACTAAATCTATTAAATTAGTTTTCTTCAAAAAAAAATTAATCAACGCAAGCATGTCACTTATAACATGAAAATTATATTTTTGATATTTATCTAAATAATTAATGTCTTAAATGTTTCTAATAAAATAAATTAAAAAAATATATAAAAATGAGAAATTGCATGAAATAGAAAATTATCTATTGACTCACTATTTAAACTATCAGAGAAAAAAATAACATGCGTTTTTTAAAATAAGCATAAAAGTAAACAAACATATTGCTCATTTTAATGCCATGATTTGAAAATATAATTTTTTAATATTTATTTATATTAAAATGATGAACGATGATAGATGGTAAGCATACACAAAAATTTCTTTTGTTTGTAATATTAATATAATATTTTAGTATATTTGTCTCATATATGTTTTAAAATCTTATTCGAAAACAGGAGTGAAAAAAATATTTCAAACTTCAAGAAGTTGTCATTAATGAAGAAACTAAAGAGTTGTTTGTTGAATCGCTATGTCAACTAATCTATTTACAAGAAAAAACAAAATATTCATTGTAAGATATAATCTGCTGTTTTTTCCAGGCAGCTTCTTTGGTAGTGCAGCTGCAACTTCCTTGCAGCTGCAAAGCACTTTCATGGCAGCCATTTTAGGCTGATTTTTCATGACTTTTCAACTTAAGTAATTTCTAGGAAAGTCACTAGGATAGTTGTTTTTAGTTCTTATAAATAGGTATGCAGTTTTTTGTTTTGTACACACAGAAAAACTTAATACTCAATACATTGAGTTGTTCACAATCTTCTTCTTTCATCCTAAAAGTGTTCGTTTGTGTCGGAAGCATTTTTGCTTACTTGAGCAGTGAACGAGCGGGGTCTAACATTCATAACATACAATTTTGCAATTAAAACAAAATGAGTAATTAATTTATTATTTATGAGTATAGTAAATGAAATTCATGACAATTTGTAGACTTTAAAATGTTATAAACATGTGATGACGCAGAAAAAAAAAACAAACAAAATAATACTTATTATTTTATTTAATTTTATTTATTAATATTCCAGACATTGCAAAGTACAGATAAGTGTGCTAGTGAGTCGATATTAGACTGAACATTTCCCATGCCAGGATCAGAAGTCTGAACATACTCGGTTCTAAATTATCCCGCTCTGGCCTAAGAGTTATTAGAATACTACATATTCTTTGGGAATTTTTCAAATTAACTTGTCTGAGCTGATATCATTTATGTCAACTGGTTAGTATCTTGTTCTTTGAGGGGTTACACACGTATCCATGCAAGGCACGAGGATACGTGTGCTAGTGAGTCTAAATTAGCATGAGCATTTCCCATGCCAGGATTAGAAATCTGAATATACTCAGTTTCCTTTTTTAAAAAAAGAAAATAAAATTGGGCGCTGAGTGCATATTAAAATACTACACAGGAATTTTCTAAATGAACTTGTCTGTCTTTCATGAGCTGATGTCATTTATGTCAAACTGGTTAGTATCTTGCACTTTGAGGGATTATTTTGTTTGGTCTGATAGACTCCAGTATTAAGTTGATAATCAGGTTAACTACAGCTGCTTATTATTTTATGATACCTCTCTGTAAACCAATTGAAAAGTTGTGTATAAATTTGGGCTTCGAATCTTCAACCCTAGTAAATGGGTGGGCACATGATACAGACTCGCTAATTTAACAGAATCTCCATTTGAGCAGTACAAGTTGAACTTTTCTAACAACAGTGAGATTAGGCAGCAAGGTTGATATACAGTTAACCTCAACTACCTGATCGGAGATTATGAAATATGTTTGAGCCTATGACCTTGTTTATTTCTCAATGCAGACTCTTCAATACTTCGTACTGCTCTTTTCTCTGGACCAAAGCCACTATGTTGAAGGGGATGTGAAATGTATTAGATTTTGAGCTTAGCATGTGAATATTATCATTATTGGCTAATCTCTTGCTTCATAGCATAATGTTGCACCCTCTTTTAATTAGTGACCAAGATCACAGGGGCCAGCCCAGTCCCGTTTCTGTCAAGCATTGTGAGGAATTGTTATTGTTACTAGAAAAAAAAATAAAAGAAAAAGAAAAGAGAGAAAAAAACAATTAGTTGAGCTTCTATGTCAAAATCTTTTTACCATACTTTATTTTGGCTCACTTGTGCTATTCTTCACCATTGGCAGGAGATGTAATAAAAGGATGGGATGAAGGTATTCAGACAATGAAGAAAAATGAAAAGGCCCTATTTACTATACCACCAGAGTTGGCCTATGGGGCGTTGGGTTCCCCTCCAAAAATACCCCCCAATTCAACACTTAAGGTTGAAGTTGAGTTGCTCTCTTGGATTAGTTGGAAGGATATATGCAAGGATGGAGGGTTATTGAAGAAGGTTCTTGTTGAAGGAGAGGGTTGGCAGAATCCTAGGGACCCTGATGAAGTTTTTGGTTTGCATCCCAACCCTGTTTGTTTCTATGTCTAATTTAATTTTATATGATGGGAGTGTTAATACTTATCTTATTTTATATTGCAGTCAAATTTGAAGTTCAGCTTGAAGATGGGACTGCAGTGTTAAAACAAGACGCTGTGGAATTTACTGTGAGAGAAGTTATGGGGGCAGCTGGATACAATTTATTTTCATTTTCGTGTTGCAAGATTAAATGTTTTTCATTGGAACTATGAGTGGATATAATTACTTTCCAAAAGCTAACTATTCATTCATTCTTAATTTTTTCTCCTCAATCTTGTCAACACAATTCAAAATTATAAATCAATCGATACTACACATTTCCAAAAAAATTCACTATTCATCCACTCATATTTTGAATTCTCAGTCATTATTTTATTCCTTTTTAATGACATCAATTTAATCCATTAAAATTTGTCTCATATCAATTAACAAATTGAAAAATAGTTCATTCTTCCATCCCAATTTTTTTCCACTTTTCATCACTTCTCCATTCTGACGATTTTTTTTTTTTCAAAATAAGCTATATTTATTCTCACCCGGTATTTATATTATCATTTATTTTCCGATCATGCACCTGATGTGTCTAACTTCTTCCTTGTGCAGGTCATTTCTGTCCCGCTTTATCCAAAGCTGTGAAAACAATGAAAAAGGGTGAAAAAGCCCATTTGCTTGTAAAGCCCCAATGTATGGAACTCACTTTTTATACTATGATTTTCTGAATCTGCACTCTGCAGCTTCATTAGACTTGTCAACATGTGTACTTGTTGCAGATGGATTTGGAGAGAAAGGAAAACCAGCTGCTGGTAATGAATTTTATGTGCCACCAAACGCGACTCTTCAGATAAATCTGAAGTTAGTCTCCTGGAAAATTGTTTCTGACATTAGTCATGACAAAAAAATTTTGAAGAAGATCCTTAGGGAAGGAGAAGGCTATGAACGTCCACATGATGGTGCAACTGTACGAGGTGAGTTTAAGTGTTTGCTGATAATGGGAACTCCTCAACAGTTCTTGTACAACCTGTGGTGTAACATGGATTTTTCTCCTGGAGAGCATATTGCAAAGAGCAACTGACATGTCTGCACGCAACAATATAAAACAGCTGTTCTAGAGACACTAAGTGTGAAATTTGAACATAAGTACTGAAGTGGCTGATGAATGCATAACTGGGCCAAAAAATAAATAGAAATGGCTGTCATCATCAATGTATACTTGACAGTGACAGTCATTGCTGTTCTGGAATATCTGCGTAATATTGTGCAATACAATGCATAAATTGTGGATAGTATACTCAAGAATAAAGAAAAAATAAGCAACTATAGGTGTACCAGAAATCTAGAGACGGAGATTTTTTGGCCTGGATTGATTCTTTAGAAGATGCTTAGTTTGTTGCTTCTTTTATTATTACCTCTTATTCTTATAACTGTCAGTTTGATATAAATACAGGATCTCTAGTAGAGGCATGATAGGCAATAATTATTAAATTGTAATAGCTTCGGCTACGGGCAAAATATGTTCTTGCTGGGCAGAATCTTTCTGCTGGGAAGCTAAGCTTATGGTTACATGCGTCTTCTCTTAATTCCTTACTCCATTTTATAATATCTTGACATCATTCGTATTCTGTTTGTTCTGGCTTCTCTCTCTTTTCTTTTCTTTTAGTGTCATTTTTTAAAAACTGTCATAATGCCCATCATCTGAATATCTTGTTTCCTACTGTGGAAGTCAAACTGACTGGTAAGCTGCATGATGGAACTATTTTTGCGAGAAAGGGGCATGATTTCGAGCCACCTCTTGAGCTCAAGGTGGATGAAGGTAACTAGTTCACATGAGTCTGCCAAAAAAAAATAAAAAAAAATAATAAAAATAATAATAATCTGATTTCTTTGTGGGGATGTGATTTTCTGAAAACATCATATGTACAGACCAAGTAATAGAGGGGCTTGATAGAGCTCTTAAGACCATGAAAAAAGGGGAAGTTGCAATTGTTGTTATTCAGCCAGAGTATGCATTTGGACAATCTGAATCTTTACAGGAGCTGGCTGTTGTTCCCGGAAACTCAACTGTGTATTATGAAGTTGAGATGATCTCCTTTGACAAGGTTGTATGAACATGTTTAAGTGTGTCTGCTTCAGGAAGAGCTTTGTAAATGAATTTGTGACTTAAAATGTCGTTAATTCAGGAAAAGGAATCTTGGGATATGAGTGCAGACGAGAAAATCGATGCCGCAGGTAAGAAGAAGGAGGAGGGGAATGTATGGTATAGAGCAGGAAAATACCAGCGAGCTTCAAAGAGATATGAAAAGGTATACGCGGTCGTGATTAGTTTTAGTGTTGACCTCCATTCATCTTGGGCACTGTTTTGATTTAAAAAATTCATGACAACTATTTGGTAAATCCAGGCTATCAGCTTTATTGATTATGACTCCTCTTTCAGTGAGGAAGAGAAGGAAAGGGCAAAAGTGCTTAAAGTATCATGCAAACTTAACAATGCAGCTTGTAAATTGAAACTGAAAAGTTTCAAGGAGACGGTGAAACTCTGTAGTGAAGTTCTAGAAATTGACGGTAGAAATGTTAAAGCTCTTTATAGAAGGGCACAAGCATATATTGATCTGGTAGAGTTGGAATTAGCTGAGAAAGATATCAAGAATGCACTTGAAATAGATCCCGACAATAGGTAATCTAACTTAAACATTAATGTGTGTTTCCTGATAAGTTATATTTTATTACCACAGTAGCTTTTAGCATGACGGTCAACATTCTTGTGACAGGGATGTTAAAAAGGAGTACAAAATCCTGAAAGAGAAAGTAAAAGAATATGACAGGAGAGACGCACAATTTTACGGTAACATTATTGCCAAGATGAAAAAGTCGGAACCGGTCGAATCCTTGGTAGGTGGTTTGATACTGAAGTTTTTGCTCAAGTGTACAGTGATTAAAGTTCACATTTTTTTCTTTTTTATATTTTGTTTTATTTGGGTGCAGGATCCACCAAAGAAGCAGGGGTCTGTGTCAGAAGCTATTGATAGTAAGGCGTAAACAGTCTTTTCAGCTGAAACTCTTCTATTCTCTCGCTATCTGTTTATTTATTGCGTCCATTCCGTTTTAATAGTGAATGACAAAGTTTACAATTGCTGTTCGGTCGTAGAATATTGAGCTCAACTGGTTTCATCAGTGACTGAGCCGTCAAAATTACATGTTTAATCTTTCAGTTGTGCTTGATGAATATATCTGTTGTAGTGTTGCTTATGATTGTCTTGTTGCCTTGTGGGATATGAGATGGAACAAAACTTTCTTTTCTTTCCTTCTCTTTTTCTTTTCCCATGTTCTTTCGGTGAAAACTATTTAGGGTTGGTATTCTACCTGAAACCTCCAGGGGGTTGATTTTTGCTGTTACCCTCTTATTAAAACGTCACGTAATTATAACCATCAGCATGTTCCTTCAAACAGGAATCAGAAGATCAGTTGGAGGCCTTGCAGAGAAAGCTGTCCAAACATACAAGAGAGGAAGAAATCCTGGTTCCGTAATTCCTGCAAGGTTAGTGCTGACATCCCTGCTGATGTTAGTTCTTGCAGTTGTACTTTCTTTTTTGTGCTTGAGAAACTGAGCAAACATGAAATGTAACGTGTAACGGTTCGGAAGCTGCTGGTATTCTCGCAGCTGTTTGTTGTACACAAGGAACTGAGATAATATGAATGTAATTTGTGAACACTTTGAAGCAAAGGGCACATTCATTGACTTAACATGGTATGCAGTGAAGTGGACTTTTGCAATGGTTAAACCTGGAAAAGCCCAAATTGGGGCTCACCCTTACAGTGGTTGAGCCAGGAGAGAACTCAAAATGGGGTGATAACCTCATTGATATGATATAAAATGCACACAACAAAAGAGTTCCAATTGAATAAGAACTTTTTTTTTTACCTCCCAAAGTATGCTTGTTTTAGACTTTGGTTCAAGAACTTTTTTTCTTCACGAAGTACCCAGAACCGACAACTTTTGTATCTTTTATTAAAAACTCTTAACACGACAAAATTTTTAACTTAATAAATGACAAATTTTGAATCGATCTTTATAATTGATTTGGGCTTTTGAAGTTCACGACGAGACGAAAAAAATGAGGTATGATTATAACTTTTTTAAAATTGATACGTCAGTAATCGATCGACTAAGAAGGTAGGTGCACGTGTGTATAGAAAAAAAACTGCGGTTCAATTTTTTGGATAATCAAAATATTTGATTTTCATTTAATTAAAAGAGTATGAAATCGAAGGTAGCCAAGCTAGGCTCGTTAAACAAACGAGCCTGAAATCGAATTTGAGTCGATCTCAAGTTTTAACGAGCAAGATTATAAAAAATTATACAATTTTTTTTTTTGAGCCTTAACACGCCAAACCGAGCTTGACTCGTAAATCGAATGAGTATTAAATGAGTTTGAGCTTGGCTTGGTTATCAAACAAACTGAGTCGAACTCGAATCTTAACAAATCGGACTAGGCTCGTTTAATTTAAAAACACCCACCAATCGCAATAGTCCAAATCATGTGCAAGTAATGAAGTAAACCATGGATGTAAAAATATCTGATCCATTTATGAGTAGCAACTGACAAGTTGCAAGTGGTGGCCACCTTGTGCGAGTTCATGATATTACAAAATAACCTCAGAACTTCTCAAATTTGCAGATCTACCACGTAACCAATCTGACCTACCTCGGTCCCAACCTTTATATAAATAGAAGCATCATCTCCACTTCACACACTCACCGCTCGCACAAACCAGTCCACTCACTCATCTCAGATCCAATCTGTACTCGCAAACATCCATGGCGCTCATCGTTGAGAAGACAACCTCCGGCCGCGAGTACAAGGTCAAGGACATGTCCCAGGCTGATTTCGGTCGCCTCGAGATCGAACTCGCGGAGGTTGAAATGCCTGGACTCATGTCCTGCCGCTCCGAGTTCGGGCCCTCGCAGCCGTTCAAGGGCGCCAAGATCACCGGCAGCCTCCACATGACTATCCAGACCGCCGTCCTCATCGAAACCCTCACCGCCCTGGGCGCCGAGGTCAGATGGTGCTCCTGCAACATCTTCTCCACCCAGGACCACGCTGCCGCCGCCATCGCGCGCGACAGCGCCGCCGTGTTCGCCTGGAAGGGGGAGACCTTGCAGGAATACTGGTGGTGCACCGAGCGGGCACTGGACTGGGGGCCGGACGGAGGGCCCGACTTGATCGTTGACGACGGCGGTGACGCCACGCTGTTGATCCATGAGGGCGTGAAAGCTGAGGAGGAGTATGCCAAGTCCGGAAAGCTGCCCGATCCGACCTCCACTGACAACGCTGAGTTTCAGATCGTGTTGACCATTATCAAAGATGGGCTGAAGTCTGATCCAAAGAGGTATACAAAGATGAAGGAGAGATTGGTTGGTGTTTCTGAGGAGACAACCACGGGAGTTAAGAGGCTGTACCAGATGCAGGCTAATGGCACACTGCTTTTCCCTGCTATTAACGTGAATGACTCTGTCACCAAGAGCAAGGTATGTATATATGTTTTCTCCATTTCTTATGCTACATCTGATCTAATCTGATCTGATCTATTATATGCTACTGTTATTGAATGTTATTGATCTCAGTTCCTGTGGGGTTGATCTGATGATATGCTGCTCTGTGCTTGTTTATCTTTTCACCAAGTGCTGAATAGTTATATTCTTTAGCTGTTTAAATTTGTTTCTTTTGCGTCAACGAAGAAAGAGTAGCTATGAGTGCATTCAATCATGCAGTAGTCATGTGATTAACTATCTTAACCCTCCATTTTATTTGCTCTTGGCATGCTTAGCTATTCTAGCACTTGCCTTCGAAATTAAATTAATTTTTCTTTCATCCAAAAACCTAATCCTACCTTACCAATTTCCTTCGCACCAGTTTGACAACCTTTACGGGTGCCGCCACTCTCTGCCAGACGGACTCATGAGGGCCACCGACGTAATGATTGCCGGAAAGGTTGGCGTTGTGTGCGGTTATGGTGATGTCGGAAAGGGTTGCGCGGCGGCCTTGAAACAAGCAGGGGCCCGTGTGATTGTGACAGAGATCGACCCCATTTGTGCCCTTCAGGCCCTCATGGAAGGCTACCAAGTGCTGACCCTGGAAGACGTGGTCTCTGAAGCCGATATCTTTGTCACCACCACTGGCAACAAGGACATCATAATGGTGGACCACATGCGCAAGATGAAGAACAATGCCATTGTCTGCAACATTGGCCACTTTGACAACGAGATCGACATGCTCGGGCTCGAGACCTACCCTGGTGTGAAGAGAATCACCATCAAGCCACAAACAGACAGGTGGGTCTTTCCTGAGACCAACACAGGCATCATTGTACTTGCCGAGGGTCGTCTCATGAACTTGGGTTGTGCCACTGGACATCCTAGTTTTGTCATGTCGTGCTCTTTTACCAATCAGGTGATTGCCCAGCTCGAGCTCTGGAAGGAGAGGAACAGCGGCAAGTATGAGAAGAAGGTTTATGTGTTGCCTAAGCACCTTGATGAGAAGGTTGCTGCCCTCCACCTTGGGAAGCTCGGTGCTAAGCTTACTAAGCTTTCCAAGGAGCAGGCTGATTACATTAGTGTGCCAGTTGAGGGTCCTTACAAGCCTGCTCACTATAGGTACTGAAAAGGCTGGGGGATTATGGCTCAAGTTTGTTTTTCTTTACAGTGTCTGATTTTGCATTTTTCTATGAAATAGTGGTTTGGAATTTTGGTGTGTTTTTTCCAGGGAAAGAAAATATGGAATGGCCTCTGTTGAAGGCGATTATGTTTTGGTCGATGTTTGAGTTGTGTTTCGTTGGGTTTCAGTCATTTTATTAGACGTTTGTTGTCTTGCTTACTTGCTTTATTTATGAGTCCATTGGCAAATGAAAACGAAGTATTTTGTTTTCTGCGTCCAGATTTTTCCTTTTTTCCCGTTCTATTCATTATTTTCGTTGTTTTTCGCATGACATTAATGGGCTTTATATCAACCCACTTGTTAATAATTGGGAAATTTACATCCATATATTCTATATAACAAATATTATCATTTATGCGATTTGAAAAAAGTTTAATCAAAATAGGACTTGATGTTGGTTTTCTTTTCACAAGTACGTGATTTACTGTCACCTCTTGATTTCCTTCTCTCTCCAATCAATAAACATGTAATTAATTGCCCAAGGATTTTGTCTCTCTCCATGTGTTTCTTTCTCCAATTAAAAAGCATGCATTTAATTCAATTAGGAATTAAATATGTTTCTCTCTCCAATTAAAAATTATGCATTTAATTCATTACGGCTAGAGAATCCGCAAGCAAAAAAATCGAAAAGAACAACAAATTTGAAGCTTAAAATTAAGGGATTGGAAATCAAAAAAAAAAAAAAAAAAA